TCAGCAGGAGGGAAGAGGAATGTCTGGAAAGAAGGATCTGTTCAGACCCTTATTGGTAGTGAATTGTAGAAGAAAAAGAGGGACCGTGTATGACTTGGGGCCTGGGGAGGGGATGGGGATAGTACAGTACAACAAGGGTCTGTTTCCCCCTAGCTTTCCTGGCATAATTCCTGGCTACAGTGCATTTTCATCTCTGGACCGCTGATCACTTTACGAAGGTGAGTACATCTTAATATCCCAGTTACACAACTGATTGAAGCAATTTGCTTAAAACAGTGGTTTGCAGCCTGTGGTTTGCAGACCCCTGGGGGTGCACAGAGTATGGCTAAGACTTCCAAAGGGTCCACACCTATAGGGGTCTGCAAATGGGAAAAAAAGGTTCTGTGATCTAGCAAATTAAAGATGGGTCTGCCACTCCAGAGATAAGGCCTATGTTTCTAGCACTGCCACAAACTTGCAAATTACTATATAAAACAGTCTGACAAAAAAAATAAACTTTCCAGGCTCCATGTTCTTGGCCCACTGTTAGCCGGTGGCCGGGGTAGTGAGTGGTCTGTGAGCCCTATCTCACCCGAGTCTTTGACTGCTAGGACAGATTCCCTTCACAGTGGGCAGCCAGGGAAGCTGACAGGTGCCCCAAGGTGGTGCAGAGAGAGCTCGTTACACTCGAGTCCTTGACTGCTACGACAAAAGTCCCTTTGCAGCAGGCAGTCAGGGAGGCTGACGGGCGCCCCAAGAGTCTGCCCCGTGGAGGCAGCACGACTCAACCCTCAGCTCTTACTGCGTTTACCCCTGACCGGCTATGGTTCTTTTTGATTGTGTTTGGTTCTGTTACAGCAACAGGGAGTCAGGTTGAAAGCTTACACAGTTACTATTTTATTGTTACAAGGCAAGCTTAGCTGTTTAATGTTACTACTGTGTTACAGATAACACAGTCACTACAAAGACAATACAATACCAGTCACTTAAAGGTACCATGGAACCCTTTTGGTTCTCTGAGCTCTTATTGAATGCGTGCAAAAATAGACACCTAGCAGGTATATTCTCACCCCTGCGATCCTTACTCCGGTGAAGCCAGCATTTCTCTCAATCCCAATGGAAAGCAGTTCATACGCGATGGAGGTCCAAGACCTCCTGACCAGCAGGTATATGGGTGGATCTCCAATTACAGTGGGTCACAGGGCCCCACTTTATACCTCTGTGGTCACGTAGACGCTTCTCTTGTCATTAAAATGCCAATTAAGTTGGAACGTCTTTGTGACGCCCAGTCCCACAGGGGGTCCAAAGTTTAATTTGCACCTGTGAGATGGAGGTAACTAAATCATTAGGGCCGGACATTCTTTCTGATGGGGCGGCAGATTCCTCTTCTGGGACGGTGTGTGTAGGAGTATCAATACTAGTACCAGCCAAGGGCAGCTCGAGGCCCCGATCGCCTGCTGGCCCAATTGCCGCTGTTATCTGGTTCCTGTCTAGCATCCAGGGCCATTGTTATTCCAGCACCTCTGGTGGCCCTGGAGCCTTTGAAGGAAGAGTTTCACTCTCAAGGATTCTCTCTCCCAAGGATGTCAGAGGAAGGAGAGGAGGGGAGGGGGTTCTGTCTGCCTACAGCCACAGAGTAACAATGTCAATTTTCAGACTAAACCAGTTTTCCAAGCTGAAGATGTAATGGAACTCAAACAGGGCTTTATAATGGAAGCAGGTCCCACTCCTTATGAAAATGTGGGGATTAGGGGTTTTTTTTTCTTCTAATTTTACTTTACTTACAACTTTTAAAGAATTATCTGCAGAATTCAGTATGTAGCATAGGAATGTGGTTTGCATCTGTTCAAATTGAATTCAGCTCAAGTCAAATTCCAACTGATGTTAGCATACCGAGAAAAGAATATTCATCCAAAATTGTAATTGATTTTGCTACTGTTTTTTCAGGATTGCTCCTGCTGGTGTTGAGGATTGTTCCCCCTCTGAAAGTAATTTATCTTTGTTTGAATCCTGAAGAGGAGTTATGTCTATGTGTTTCCAGTGTGACAATATTGCACTGGAATATGTGACAATAACAGTGATATTGCAACCTAAGCCTTATAATGTCTTTGCCAGTAAGGAATGAAGACAGGCTTTTGGCATTCTGCAGTCACTGGACATGTGATTTCCATACCCTAAGAATAGGACAGAGTAGATTCTGTGGCTATGTAAAAAGCCCAAATGGTTTCTGTGATACAGCAGGGCTGAAAGAGGATTTTGGCTGGTTTATATCTTAGGTTCAGAGTTGAACACCATTCTTTATCTGCCCTTTCTTCTCCAGTCCTGCTTCTCTTTGCATCACAGAACCTCACCAGTTCTACTACAGGGAGAGACTATTTGGCTATGGATAAAAGGGCTGACTTTATTACTGGAATGGGATGCATTTGGTGATTGTGGATCCCTGCTGGAGGCTGCAGTGTCCTATTATACCCCACAGCAGGAAAGAAGCTACAAAGGTCGGTCCTCCACACCTCCCTAAAGAAGTCTCATGTAAGCAACGAATTAGTGCCCCCAGGCTAAGAGAGAGAGAACTGCAGGGCCGTGTGTTCCTGTATGGGATTGGAGAGGGATGGTGCTCTTTTCAGACCAAAACAGCTTGAAGAATAAACAGAGTTTGGTTCTAGCTGCATTTGCTTAGGGTCAGAGAGAGGATCTAAAACATTAACCCTGAGTTGATGGGTGAAGGTAAAGAGGTAGGTGAGAAGAGTCCCAGGGAAGTAGCAATAAGGAATTGAAGTGAGCGGTACATCGCTGCTGTTTATAGGTTCCCTGAATTGGAATCAGGAGTAGTGGATAGGTCTCGGTTTTGCCACTGGCAAAGTGGTATAAACCCCACGTAGGGACCTATGCATGTTTGTAAACCTTAGCAAAAGGTTGAATTTGAAGGTCCAAGATCTGGGGCTATAGATCCTCTTCGTAAGGGTAGACAAGATAGTTTCCTGGCAGAGGTGCATTTTGATTGTGACATCCAGCTGGAGGGCTGAGCCAGTGAAAACCAGCGAAGCAAGACTGACAACTTAAAAGGGGCACCAGGAGCAAGAAAAGACCTGCAATACCTATGAAGGTTGTTCCCCACTCTGGCACTTCAAGTGCAGAAGATGGAGGCCCACAAGAAACTTTAAAATATCCTGCCACTACTGGGTTCTATTTAAAAACTCCCCAAGGTCACAGATTCCCTTATTTTGGATGGTACCACTGCCGCCACCCAAATGCAAAAACCCCTTTGAGAATGCAAGAAGACGCATTTGGGGATTTCTCTCTGTGGGGTCCCTCAAGCTCTTTAACCTTCCTTCTGGACAGAGTTTAAATAACTGTAATTTTCTTAATAGTTGGCCTTGCAGTCTTAGGCACATACACACAGAACCTTCTGCCTTTTAGGACACAGGAATCAGATTGTGGTCTTTAAAAGGTGATTTTTATTAACAAAACAAAGAAAACATACTTGGCAAAACATTACTTGGTTTTTAGGTGTTACAGAGCAACTAAAAAAGAAAGGTTAAAGCACAGAGAATTGCTTCCCTGGGATTGAGTTTAAAAGTTACAGTGGGGAGGGGGTGTGTGGAGGTTCATAGGCTCAAGAGAGAAGTCCAACAAACCAAAAATAAAGAAAATAACCTGATGATGTCTGACTAAACATTCCCTGTTCAACTCACATATTATTTGTTCCAAGTTTTAGTCCTTCCCTAGGCATGGATATTGCTGGATATTTCATGCCTTGCTCCCTGGCTTAATGTCTCCCAGCTCTGCTCTGGTGACCCACAGACTGGAACAAGAAGGTCATTGCTTCCCACTCAAAAACCCATACTCTGTTTTCATTGGCTCTCCTGGCTTCCTGCTAACACTTCCTGCTTCCCTAGCATTTCTGGAGACTCTCTAGGACCCATTATCTATGATTTTAATCTTTACAGGCAATTTATTTAACTGAATGGCTGGGATGTCCAGAAAAGGGTAGTACCCCTCTCTTCATCTCAGCATTGCATGCAACAGCAGCTACAGAAAGGACTCACGCAGTGAGCACCTCCCAGTTACTACCTCTTAGAGAATAAAACTAAACCACAAGATAAAATACAAAAATCAAGAGGGAAAGAAGGTTTTTGTTTATTTTGCCTCATTTTATTTTTAGGGTTTGTCAAGAAAAGTGCATCAGTGGTGTTTTGGAGAAATACAATAATCAGCCCATATGTTCTGCTGATCGTTCTAAAATTAATAGATAATCTGTTTGCACTGAACAGGCAGGCAATTTTATGCTCTGTAGCAAGATAAGCATTTATGGAGGGGTTGCGTATGTGAGATCATCCAAAAGCTTTTTCTGCCTGATTTCATTTTCTGAAATGCAACTTATCCAAGTTTATTTGAGCCCAGCACTTACACTAGATAGCCTGTTTTATGGAATTATAAATAATATGAATCACTTGAGGGATTAAGAGACTAGGAAAGTAGTGTGTTCTGTGATGGGACATATTTACTTATTCATTTATTACATTGTAATAACTGCAAAATGAGTAACAAATACAGTATTATTTTCAGCCAAAATTGGTCCTGATCCTTTAAAGTTTTTATTCACATGAATAATCCTTACTGCCCAGATTGCTACAGTGAATGCTCATCTCTAGAAATGTACCTGCTTTGATCCCCCATAGTTACATGAAGTTTCAGAGTGAGCTCTTCAAACATGATCAGCATTGGCTTAACTTTGTTTCCCCTGAAGTTAATAGGCATTCCTTAGTTCACATCAGTGGAAGAAGTGTTGGGCCAATGCAGGGCACTCTTGAAAATGTCATCCTAAATTTTTAATCAAATATATCGAACCGTAGGACTCCATAAAAAGAAAGATAATACTTCTGAGATTGAGGCTCTAAATAATTAGGAAAATGCACCCTGATTTGGATTAAACAAGCAGGCAGCAGTGAGTGACCAAGAATTAATGGCCCTTAGAATAATGCTGCTGTGTATTTGAATGAGAACTGGTTAGTTTTTTAACAAATGGCTGTCTCTAAATGTATTGATAAATAATCATTCTGTTTACAGCATAAATGTTCTTACTGCATATCATGGAGATGGGCTTCTATATTCCCATTTTGAGAAAAATATGAATGTCTTTCTACTTTTGAAAAAAAAATTGCAAATCATACCTCCCACGGGGGAGTGTATGCATTACTTCCAAATTGTTTTTTGTTTTTTCTTAGCTTTTTACAAAAATCTTAAATATATGTAAATATGTAAACACTATGCACATACTAAGTGTTTGATCGTGGGCCTGTTGGAAGTCAATGTCATACCTTCCATTGATTTCAACAGTGCAGGATCAGGCACTGAGCTAGTACAGTACATATACGCCTAAGTTACTCAGGGAGCCATGGCTTCGGTAGAATGAAAGAACAGGTGCCCATTTCAAAACCAGCTGTCGGAGGAGTCAGACTGAGTGCTGAAAACCTTCCTGCACATATTGGAGTTCTCTTGATGGAGTGGGTATTCAGAACCTGCCAGCAGTTTGACTTTTCCTTTCCGAGAAGTGTACCGTTTGCCAGATGGCAGGCTTTCATATTTAGTCACATATTGCCTGCAAAGACACAATCCTGTTATGTACTATAGCCAAACAGATATTAAATCTGCACCCTACCTGTGAATCTAGGTAAGGGCACACCACATCCATAGCAGATTGATTTGATTTCAATGTGACTAGTGATTTTATATCTAATCAGGATACATATTGATCAGTACAACTAATACCATATTTTCAGAGATGGGATTCCTGGGAGAGCTTTAAGAAATTCCCATCTGTTGGGCCCATCACTATATACATAGGCTTCCATTCAGTGAGGACATTCTCACAGGGGCAGACAGTGCTGTCACCAGACCATTTTCAATTCTTAGCAGAAAAACAAACCTAAGCGTCTCACGTGGCAGTGCAGTAATCACTTAGCCATTGAAAAACACGTTTTACTTTATTGTACAGTCATTTTAAATTTCAAGGTGGAAAGTGACCAGTTAAAAATATTTCCAGACATATTGAAGTACTGTATCTTTTACAGAGCATGGTAATTGAGCTAAGCACTAAACATTCTGGCCAAGCATCAGTATGTTATAAAGGCAACCCTGCAGGCTCAAGTCCTTTACCGCTAAGCACTTGCACTATCATTGGCCTAATGAACAGATTGTGGATAGTCATTACCAGGGGTGCTTCTTTGTTTGACTCTCAGGTTTTTTAACCATCTATAGTGATGACATATTAAGGTTATTAGTGGGGTTATTTCACGTGGTTGTTACTTCTAAAAGATGGGTGGAAATCTGACAAAAAGAAGTCAAAGCAAGAGCAGTGGTCTGTCAAAGTCCCTGTTAAATGTTTATCCATATTTCTGGCATGTTGTAGGTCAGAGATATTAAGAGAGATATTTGTGTTTGGGAGTAATCTTGCATAGCACTTGCTTGTACTATGTTTAAATCTAGTCTCTGTTTTTAATCTCTCATGTTTGTGAACATCAAACACATGGAAGGGGAAACAGCTCTGGCATCTGGTTAATTGGAAATTTCTGGCAGTTCTGGCATCTGGCAAATGGTTAATTGGAAATTTCATACAGCATTTTTATTTCTTACCTGAATGGAGATTCTAGTTTGTCCATCTGCATGCAAACCAAGAATGGATATTCTGAAAACTGCACTGTGGAGATGAAGTTTAGTGTTGCCTCTGTTTCAAAACTGGTTTCCATACCAGCTTTCACAAAGAAGGAATCCACTATGATATTACCAGTTGCCACTATGGTTCCCCTATAAGTAAATTCAGACAGAGTTTATTATTAACAGATCTCAGAAGCAAACAGGTTAAGCTGCAAACAGTCCTAATATTTGAGCTAATAATACTAACTGTTCTCTTGAAGTTTATTCTTACATAAGTGTATTTTGGGAACTTCAGCTGGCACTAGTGATTGTGTGCACTCACACACACAAAGAGGAGAAAAGAACCATTAATATTGGGTAAAAAGTACACTTTTGAGCATACATCCTTTGTCATTGGAACTTACTGCAAGGCTGTGTCTAGACTCAATCCCTTTTCCATAAAAGGTATGCAAATTAGACACATCGCAATCCTGCTTCATTGGCATAACCATGGCTGCCGCTTTTTTCCGGCTCTGGGCTTTGCCGGAAAAAAGTACCAGTCTAGACAGGGATCTTTCGGAAAATAAAGCCTTTTCTGAAAGATCCCTTATTCCTTATTTTAAGAGGATTAAGGGATCTTTCAGGAAAGGCTTTATTTTCCGAAAGATCCCCGTCTAGACTGGCACTTTTTTCTGGCAAAGCTCCAAGCCGGAAAAAAGCGGCAGCCATGTTTATGCAAATGAAGCAGGAGGGATTTAAATCCCTGCTTCATTTGCAATTGCGATGTGTCTAATTTGCATCCCTTTTACGGAAAAGAGATGAAGTCTAGACACAGCCCAAAAGTATGGTGTGTATGCTGTTATGTCTAGGGCTGATTCCTTAAAGAGCCTTCTTTAGTTATCCACATGAATAAAAAAGAGATGTAAAATACTACCACGTTGATTTGGTAGTATTTTATACTCTGTTTGCACTGACATAAATGATCGCACCAGGTGTCTTTGGCAAATCAGACCCAAAGTCTTTGGTCACTGGCATTTTTGACAAAGCTCCCAGAGCATGCAAAACTTACAAAATGCCACTGGGCAGCAACATTCAAACCCAAGGGAAATGGGAACAGTGGAGATGCTAGGATGTACTGTCTCTGTTTCAGGGTTATCTCAGAGTGTACTGACATCTGTTTTATGATAGCTGTTTTGGTCTCCAGTCAAGAATAGTATTATATGTATAGGTCAGCTTCACTGACTGCAGGAATGGGATCTGTGCCACTCATAACAGGTAAAAACCAGTACGGAGAGCCTAAATCTATTATTGATTACAGTAATTCATTTAGTTAATGTACAATACACTACCTAAAGCAGGGGTGGGCAAATTTTGGCATGTGGGCCAGATCCCATCCACCAGGGTTAGCCCCGGGGGGCCTCCACACTGTTGTATTTACCTGTCTCCCCCCACAGGTATGGAGGATCACAGCTTCCATTGGCCACAGATTGTTCTTCCTGGCCAGTGGGAGCTGTGATTGCCCATGCCTGTGAAGGTGTAGGTAAATATAGCAGCAATGTGGGGAGGGATAGCTCAGTGGTTTGAGCATTGGCCTGCTAAACCAAGGGTTGTGAGTTCAGTCCTTGTGGAGGCCATTTAGGGATTTGGGGCAAAAATTCATCAGAGAGAGTACTTGGTCCTGCTGTGAAGGCAGGGGACTGGACTCAATGACCTTTCAAGGTCCCTTCCAGTTCTAGGAGATAGGCAATATTTATTTATTTATAAGTGCATACCCTGGAGAACCGCCACCATTTTATTGCCCAACTCTGACCTAAAGCAAGTTGTGTTTAGAGCTCATTCAAGAAATCATAAGTTAACATTAACAATCTTGCCCATTTTTCCTCTTACGTCAACCACTACTCCTTTGGGGCTTCAGCTTGCTTTTCTCACACATCCAAAATGCCCATGGTAGTCAACAGAACTTGAGGGTGCTCAGCATCCTACACGAGATGCTTGGCACCTTGCATGAACAGAGACCTTTTCTGTCCCCTTTTGAGAAGAACATCTTATCACTGCAGTTTCTATTCAGAGGGCTAGAAATGTAATTTTCCCAAAAGAGGCGACGTCCTTATTTCTGATCAAGACTGTGTGAGTCAACTTGTGCATTACTGTCTCAGGCTACAGATACAATCATATCAAATCCACTCTCATTCTAAAGAGGCAGCATAATCTATCAGGTTAGACATGAGTTTGGAAGCAAGGAACTCCTGAACTTGAATCATTATTCTGCCACCAATTTCCTGTATTTTGGGTAAATTATTTGATCTCTTTGCCTCTCTTCACTCCCCCCCTTTTAAAAATATGTTAATTAGTTCACAGGTGAGGATTAGCTAATTAATTGGGGGTGGGGGACATTTTCAGAAGTGATTTAGACATTTAAGGGCCTAAGTCCCACTGACTTTCAATGAGATTTAAGTGCTTTAGAAAAACTGAAAGCACTTTGAAGACATGGGGGTCAAGTTCAGTTCTCATATCCACTGATGATAATCTCACTGAGACCAGTGGAGCAGTCTCAGCCTAAAAGAAAACAGAATGCATGTAGCCTTTGAAGCACTGACATGCATTCAGGTTTTCTGTAGCATAATAAATGTGGTTCATTTTTATATCCTTTCTTTCATTGTTGTTTTCATACAGACAACATACTTATTGCCACATTATTTCACCCAAAATGCAAATCTAATTTTAAAAGGCATTTAATATAACTTTCCCTCAATTTTAATAAAAATGCAAGGTTGTTTCTGTTTGAAAAGTCTCAAAATAGACCAGTTCATTTCGCATTTTTCTATGTCAGAGTATAAGGTCATAGCATGTATTGTAAGTATCTCACCGGTTCTTAACACTGGTTTTGGATTCTCTGTACCAAAGACTGAACTCCATTCCACCTGAAATGTCAATGGCCAGACCACCCTGGAATTCTGCACTGGCCTTCAGCCCAGACTGTAACTGAATGAGCTGAAAACATAGAAGAGCACAGGTCACACTCCATCTTGCTAAATGCAGATCAGAAACAGTGTTAATGTTCTTGTTTCTTTGAGGACTGTTCAAGTGTGAAGAAAATACATGGAGCTCCCTTCAATCCTTTTCCATTGTTGTGGAGAAGATGGGCAAAACTTTATTGCTATTGCCCGGCACCCTCATGAAAAGGAAGCAGATGATATCGGAATCTCAAGTGTGTCCTTTCTCCCACCTCAGTCACCAGATAGCATTGGTGGCCTGGTACAGAACAGGAAGCATCCTGTCCCATGCTTGCAAAGTGTGTCAGAGCTACCACACAGGCCTACACCTCCCAGGAAAACTACAGTGGAATTCTGGATTTCTGAGTTTGTCTTGTCGGCATCTGCCAGCTGAGAGCATCCAGTGCACAATTTTACCCAATCATGGCAATAAAATATACCCACTGTTGCCCAGAGAACTGTAGAATGATATAGAACCCCCATAGTGGAAAGATTTGATTGGAACAATCCAGTGGCTACCACAAATACAAATTGCCTGTGACATTTTGCTATCCGTGCATTTTTGGCCAGTATTGGGTGTGCGGATGGCTGCTTGAAACCTTTACAGCTGGACTGAAAATGTGCATGGAGTCAATTTCGGAAGTGATAATAACTCAGCCTCACAGCAGCTCGTTACATTTGAATTTTGATAGTCAGCCAAGTTTTTAAAGTTCATGATGCTTGGTAATCTGATTTGTGTTATATAACTGCCCCACTCACCTTAAAACTAGATAGACTAATTCATTTTCTTAAAGTACATTTTGTTATTAAAAAGTTGGTTTAGTCCAAAAGTCTCCTCCTCTCTAACTATGCATAATGTAAATGGCTGGCACTAATTAGTAAATCATACTTATTACTGAGGTCCGTGGAACACCATTTGTGGAAGGAGTGGGGTACAACATAGGGCACTGAGCACAGGCTAGGGAGCCAGGAACATCTAATCTTGGCTCTGAAACTGATTTCTTCTGTGGCCTTGGCGAAGTCTCTTACAGCCTTAATCAGAGCCCATTGAAGTCCATAAAAATATTCCAAATGACTTCAGTGGGCTTTAGAAAAGGTTTTTAACCTCTCTGTCTCAGTACACCTTCTGTACAAATAAGATGATTAGAGCTATACAGAGGTTAATTCCCTTTCAGGAAGGATTTCTTAATTAGCTTCATTTTAAATTGGAATGAAACACACAAAATTCAAAATTCTCCAATAAGGTAGATTATGGGGAGTTTGGGAACTATCAAAATGTTTTGTTGTAACAAAATTAAAATGATTTGTTTCACTTATCCTTTTAAAAACAACAAAAAACATAGGATTTATTCTGAAAATGTCAATATGGGACATTCTGATATTGTCAAATGTTTTGTTTTCTTTTTTTAAAAAATGAGTGTAATCAACAGAGCTTTTGCAAAGCATTCTGTTTTTAATGGACCTGCATTTTCCAGCAAAAAAAAAAAATTATTTATTTAGTCAACTAGCTCAAAAACACTTGCAGTAATGTTGGGGGGCAAGAGCCCATGCCCCTCTTGCCGCTGAAGGAAAGAGCAGGTGTGAGGCATAGGCCATGGACACTCTGCCCAGAGGACAATCACAGAAGAAATGAGGATGGGAGCGACCACTTTCAATACAGCAGGAAGAGTTGGTTCTCATTCCCCTCTACCTAGCAGGAGCCTGTCTCCTTTCCCTGTTGAGGGAAGAGGGACTTACGCTTTTTCACCCCCATTGTCCTAGTGAGATTAATTCCCCACACACTAAGCAGAGCTAGCACTGTGAGAGAGGGGCTGGCCATGCACACACAACCTGCAGGTGTCTACTCTCAGTATGTCTATACTGCAGCGTTTTTCCGGAAAAACATCAGTTTTCCTGGGAAAACTACACTTACATCCATACTGCTATTGCATTCTTTTGACAAAGTCGAAAGAACAAGGGGTTTTCCGACAGCGATAGACCTCTTTCTACGACAAAGAAGCTGTTTCGGAAAAAGGCGTGCGAAGACGCAGAAGAGGGAGTTCTTTCGAAAGAAGAGGCCTCCAGGAAATAACACAAATGCCCTGGTGGCCACTCCATCCATACTAATCACAACTTAAATGCGAGATAGTGTCCAATCAATGTGGATGCTATCTTTCGAAAAAGCAGATCGCTTCTTCGTTGAGCTTTTGCTCTGTGGACACTCTCTTTCTAAAGAAGCTTGCAGTCTAGATGTAGCCTCAGTGAAATCGGCTGCTGTCTTCCCCTTTTCCCCTATGACCTTGGCTCTTTGCAATGGGGATACTTGTCCTCTCTCTTTCCACCAAGTCCTGCTCCTTGCCAGTATCTCTGTTCATGTGTTGTTCCCTGTGTTACTGCAGGTGTCTGCATCATGCAGGAGTGCTTGATTCTGCCCTCTTCCATTTCAAAGCTGGACAAAGGGATTTCTCTCTGTGGTCCTTTCCTTGCTAGTTACTCGCAGCCCTGCTATCTCCTGCAAAAGAAGCTTCCATAAGAAGTATTTAGATTCCCTCCCAAACTCAATCAGCAGGGGCTGGTGCTTAGCAAAGTTGGTTGTGGGGGAGGGCCTTAAAACCTTCCTCTCACAGTGTATGGAGCCTGGAGAAATGTGGTGACTGTATCTGGTTACTTCACCTTTTAAGGTCTGAAACATTCTGTGTTGCAGAGTTCAATAGGCTTGTCACTTGGCAGTCAGCTACTGGAGTGGACTGAACATATAACCTAAGAATGCTCTGGAGCTGGCTGTAGCTTGTAAACAAAGATGCGCCTCATTAGCTTGATAACATGCTGTTGTCCTTTTTATTATTATTATTATTTTATTATTATTATCTAGTTAAAATCCTGATGAAATCCTGGCCTGCACTGAAATTGAAGGGAATTTTTCCATTGATTTTAATGGTCTCAGGATCTCACCTATGATAGCTAATTAAAAATGCCTGGCTCATTTGTATAGGGAGACAATCCATGCTTCTCTTTTAAAAAAATAGAACCAGACTGGGCTATAACTGAAAGAATGTGAGCGTGCATTGTGAAAACCATTTGTGCACAAACAAAGCAGATTTTTGTAGATCCATGTCAAATTGCACTTAAGTATTTGAGTGAGAGATCAATTTGCAAAGCCCGAGTTATTAAATTCAGTAGTCACTGTGGGTGTGATTATTTAGGACTTCAAAGGCTTCAACAATTAATTTAAATTTTCCATTAAAACTCAAAGAAAATCTCATAAATGCCTGTGTCTCATTGTTTAAAATTTTATGAGACTTGACAAGGTTGACCTGATCATCCATTTCTTACTTGAGGTCTTAAGGCTATCCTCAGTTAAACATGTGCAAATCCCATTAAAGTCCATGGGAGTTGGCTTTTATAAGTGCTCCTTTCTATTTAAAGCTTACCGGTGCCTTTGTAACAGAAGACTAGGATCAATGTCTTAGTGCTGATTCAAAATGTTGAAGTAGACCACATTTCAGCAAAAGCCTCACCTACTACATACTCTGCTAATGGAATGGAATGCAAATGGCAGTGCTGAAAAATGCCTTTCTTTGGGAACTGGCTACCCTATAATCAGGGTCTGGTTTTCAAATGGCTGCTTTGACTTACTTATAAAATATTTGATTTCTCTGCTCTTCTGGAACGGGCAGAAATATTGTTCTTACACCCGGGAGCGTTAATGTAGGTGTCTTCAGGAGCTCAAAAATAATTTTATGAGGGGGGTTTCTTTTATGAAGGAGGTTATGATTTGCCACATTATCACTCTTAACCTTTGAACTCACATGGGAAAGATGGTAATAGACACACAGTGCACTTTGATTTTTGTTTGTGAATTTTTGGAACATCCTCTCTCACAAAAACACTGTATCATGAGTAGTGGGCAGGAGCATGCATTTAAAGGGACATCAACTTGGAATTCACATCCTTCTGAAAATGCTGTCTGTTATAGTAAGGATTACTACAGAGAAAAGGAGCTAGTGAAAGAGAGCTATTTTTCTAGGTATTTTTACTATATTTGACAGCACTTTGCATATAGTCAGCTTCACTTTTCACCTATTTAATCAGCGAGCAGTGGAGCAACTACTACTTGAAGTCCGTATAAAGAGGAACAAAAAGGCAGAAAAACCTTTACAGCCATTCTACGGGCCTTTTAAAAAATTCAGAATATACTGTTTTCCAGAGCCCCTATAAAAGAGAATATTCTGAAATTAGGTTTCAAACATTTAAATGGCCAGTTTTATATTCCTCCTTTCGGCTTTCAAGGCATTCTATAAATAGGATAACTATGCTGTTTACCTCCTTTACACATTTCTGTCTGAGCTGAAACCATGTTGCCCCAAGCTATGATCATCTGTGGATCTGTCTAGCAGGAATATGACCACTGGGCATTATAGAGAAGAATGAAAACAATGTTATAAACTGTTTAATGAAGCCATGCTGTTGGCCAGGATGGTTTAGAAGGTGTTGTGTACCATTATTCATGATGGCCAAGAAAGCAGAATTAGTACCCTGATAACAAAAACCACGGGTAAGAAGCTATGTTAATTATGGCAGTGGGTGAAATGGCTTCAGCACAAGTGTAGGGAGGGACTCTCCTCTCAGATCTAGATTCTTAAATGCCAGTCTTAGCATTCAGTTAAGGCTCCAGCTACACTTTTGTTTACACTGGTTCATGATACAGTTCTAGTCCAGTTTAAAGGCTCTCCAGGTGAAAATATTTCTAACACAGTGTAGCGGGGCTTATGGAAGTGGCAGACCAATGTTAAGGCCGTTTCTAATCTTAAACATGATTGTTAAAAATAGTCACAGCCAGTCCCATACACAATGACACAATGTACAATGAAAAAAAAACCCAACAATTTAGCCTAAACCTTTTTTCAAAAAGCATTGTAAACCAGCTCAGGGCCTTGTGTGGATGGAGTTTAAAAGGAACCAGAGCTTTCCTTACTAGGAAAGATCAATTGAGGTAACTGCTACCCAGATCCCAGCTAGCTTGTGCAGCAACTGTGCTATCCATGACACAGAAGAGAGAGCAGAGACTGATCCCATCTGCTCACTGTGCTGTCACAGAGCTTCCACTGCCAAGGCGTCCTGAATTTCAGTGACTGACCTAAAATGATATGCCCTGCTGTTGTGAGGCATGGCATGCAGTTCCAACCCTGGTGCTCCCTACACACTTATTAGGTTCTCTGACATGAAGGAGTCCAGGATCCACTGTCTGGCAGAGTTCTTGGGGAGCTAAGTCAGGTGATTCTACCAGAATATTTAGGATCTCGGTACATGCATGACCGTTGGAAAGATTTAATTCTGGAAACACCGTGCTTATGTGATGTGAGCTGATGAACATAAATGTCTGATCATGTTTCCTCCCTGCTTGGTTTGTAAAATAAGTCTCTGCCACACTGTCAGTTAGCTGGACTTCTGGCCTGTAATCTTCATGTAAGATTTTCTCAGTGAACTTTAGTTCACAGTTTGTGTACTAGAGGTGAAACTCTTAGCTGACAAAACCATTTAAAAATGGCAGTGTGTGACTGTGAATGCCAGTCCTCTGGTGCAGAAGACCTGGTGCTCAGGATAATTTCTGGTTGGTACTGTCCAGGCACAATGTTAGTCAGTTTAACAGTCCCCCTCCACCAAAAAGTAGGGAAGACTGAGATTCTATGAAGTAAGAAGTTCTACTACTGGAACCTCCCTGAAATTTTGCAGAGGAAGCAATTTGCATCATGCTTGCCCAGTAATCAAGTACAGCCCAGGCTAGATCTCCCTGGTCAGGCACCCTCGGGGGGCTCCCCACTACTCTGAGCCTCAGCTGGACCTGCTACCACTGCTTGGGCTGGAGGCTGCCTACAGGCTCCGGCTCCGTGCTGTACTACTGAGGGTCCAACCCCGACCCCCCTTCTGTGGGCTGCCAAGAGCTGATGCCATGGGCTGCTAGGAGCTGGCTATAGTCCTGGTTCTGCTCCCGCTGACACAGGCTCCCATGGGCTTTGGCCCTGGCCCTGCACTGCCCCAGATTGCTGGCTCCAGTCCCACTGCCGAAGGCTTGAACTCCTGCCCTGTGGTAGCCTACAGGGTCTAGCCCTGCTGCCACGGGCTGCTCAGGGCTCTAGCTCCAGCCCCGCACTACCAAAGGCTGTCGACTGCCTGGTTCTGTGCTGTGGATGCTGCTCTGGACCCACAGGCTAAGGGGGTCTAAGTGCCACAAGCTGCTGGGGGCTGCTGCTGACTCCAGCCTCATAACTGCAGGCTGCTCAGAACTGCTGCCAGCCCCTGCCCTTGCCCCTGCCTCTGCGCCGTCCTGTTGCTTCAGCCCAGTCCTGCTTTTGGATAGCCCTTCTACCACTAGGCTCTCTAGTCTGGGAACATCCATGGTCATGCTGGACCACGGATGTTGCCAGATCAGAGATTGTCGTTTTTGAGAGGTGCAACCTGTAATACTTTAGGGTAAAATGTTTCTACCATTAGATCTCCAGTTCCACACATCTGTATTTGAGCAGAACGGAAAAATCAATCCAAATGCTGCTTTTCTGCTCTAGCATAAGAGTCTAGACCTTGTGCTACTCAAGGGCATGGCTGTTCCATATCTGAAGCTAGATTTAGACCGTGTGGTCTTTGGTAAAAGATGAAAAGGTTATCTGCAGACAGCACACTAGTGACAAATACATCTAAAGTTGTAATCGTTTCCATTTTAAATCCTTTTGCAGCTGGTTATAACTATCTGAACCCTTCACCTTTGGTGATTTCCATCTAGAGAGGAATTGTTTGGGAAAGTTTCACCAAATATAATTTCACTGTCAATACAAGGACAGTGAAAAACTCTTACCCATTACACAAAAATAAAAATCTTGTCACTTTTTTTTTAGCATCTCTGGTGCCAGTTTGATTGAGAGAAGAATGTTTTCTGAGATGAGCCTTTTAGACTTTCGATGACAAATCATTTTGATGTCACAGTGTTCTGAGCCCCTGAAAATTAAACTCCGCACAGGCACCATAAATTCTGAACAAGCACTAAGCACTAAGCTTGTAATGTGAGAAGTTAGGGACGATCACCTGGTGTATCAAGCCTGGGAAACTTAGCTGAGCCGTTGAGAAAATGAACAAGATGGGTGTCAGATCTCTGGATAACTTCTGAGTTATAAAAACAGATGACATTTGGTGACACCATCACCTTACTAGGAACTGCACATTACAAAATAACTGGGTAGGAAGGAGGCTGTATCTGTCAGTGATATGTTGGGAATCAATGGGGAGTTTCCCTGGTTTGTTTTTATAGAATTAGATTGTTTTTTTAGTGTGATACATATTTGCTGCCCCTTTTCTTCTGTCCATGCTGATTTCCTGTCTTCAGATTTCATACAATATATATTTTCCCTTTTGATTTAAAAGTAATTAAAGTATAAAATAAGTGGAGCAAACAGTCATATTAATTTAATGTGGTTGCAGGAGCAGGACTATGAGAGAGTGAATGAATGTATGCTTGAGAGACAGAAAAAGGTTTGAGTGAGATATTTGTACCTGTGAGTAATCTATCAGAAGGATAAGTCCTTTCACCACGTTTATAGGGTCTCCAGTTGCCGAGAACATTTTAGACATTAAATCTCCATACCCTTGGAAAAAAGTAACGGGCCTGAGCTGAACGTCAAGCAAGATTGCTGACATGCCAGCAAAGGACTCCAGGTTTTCTTCGCCTTCATCTGGAGATGCAGCTATTATGGATTCTAGGCCTTGAGCTTCAATCACAACCTAAAACGAAAAAGTGAGACATTATCTGTGACAAAGTGCCCAATCTGGGATTTTATACATTGCAAACTGAACATTAAAGTGAATTGAATTTTTTTACTTTAGGTGAAAAAAGCATCTGATCAAAATATAAGTGTTTTCAAGCAGAATAAATAGCAGTAGGAGAAACAGTAAAGTAGTCTTATAGCAGCTATTCTCATTAGTTTCAGAGGTGTAGCCGTGTTAGTCTGTAATTGAAAAAAGCTTAAAAAACAGCAAATAGATCTGTAGCACCTTAGAAACTAACAAAAATGTAGGTTGTGGTATGAGCTTTCATCTTAAGAAATGGGTTGTACCCACGAAAGCTCATGGTACCATGTACATTTGTTTGTTAGTCTCTAAGGTGCAACAGGACTATTTGCTGTTTTTTAAGTTTTTTTCCCATTTAATTACTTGTGGGTGAAATGTATGCCTAGCAAGCAGACTATATAGTCTTTCCTAGCAGGAAAAGTTTGTATCTAATTATGTAAGAAACTGCCTTTCTTTTGTATAATACATTTACTTTATCAGCAGTTTTTTTGGTTTTGGAACATTCTCTGCCTGTCCCAATAGTCCTAAAAAGCACAAACCCCCATAGTTCTCAATAGGAGATACCTAAGCTTAAAGCAGTGATGAGCAACCTAGGATAGAAAATGGGTCACATATATGGCCCTCCATCTCAGTAGGCCACAAGATTATTGTAACCAAGATGGTCTCCCAGGACAGGGTAGTTTTGCTAACTGCACTTGTGTATCTAGAATTTGTAGTGTGTGCTGACTGAATCATAGCAGCACTTTGATTGGTTCTCACAATGCTGTGTGCAATTAGCACACACTTCACTTTATGTGCCTTTACTTTATGTGCATGTCACTTTCTTAATACAAGTAGGGAAAAAAACTATACCGATGGAATCAGCAGAAGCTGGCAACTCTGATCATGGACAACAATAAACAAAGTGTCTCGTGGGTTACACATAGAACCCCGATGGATCACAGTTTTTCTACCACTGGCTTATAGGTTACAGGGACAGGCTTATATGCTTAGTGTTTCCATAGCACATGGCATTTACCTGGCTGGCATGAAGTTGAGCGTTTTTATTGAAAAGAAAGATGTTCAAGTTACTTCTTCGTAAAATCCCAGAGCCTGAGTAGAGGATGTCAAGGCTGTATGTGGATGATGCACCAGGGCCACCTTAATCAACAAAAACACTAGATATTATTCATATTTGCAACTAAGTCAAGTGACCAGGAGAATAAACAGGCTTACAAAACTATTTTTCTGGTTACATACGTATCACATAGCCAGAGTAGGCAGAGGAAGACCCAGTCTTGGAGAAGCGATCATAGTTGTGAACAACCATGTCCTTCAGAACTTTACGAATCATTTTGCTGTAGAATTAAAAAAAAAAACACTAGTTTGCTATTGTACGGTCTTCCATGAGAACAGTAACAGTATTAGCCAACTGAGAAACATAAGAAGATTTAACTTTGCACACACTACTCTCAATAGTCTATACCTGACTCAAAGCCTATTGAAGTCAATGGGTATCTTTTCATTGATTTCACTGGGCTTTGGATCATCAGTTTCTAAAATATAATGACAAATAGATAAGGGATAAGGGTGGTTTCTGAAATACTATATAAGAGATTTAGGACTCAAATCCCATTGAATCACTTAAACACTTTTGAAAATTCTATCAAATGTTGATTATTTCCTTTCTTTCTTGAAAGACTTTTAAGGTCTTAGATAGAGAAACCTCTGGGGAGTAAAGTTCCTATCAACAGAACAAGTATTACCTGACTCTTTGGCATTTTACTTTGCAACTTTTATTTTTTTATGTAAGATTTTTAATGTCTATATAAACTGATGAAACAAAAGACAGGACTATGCAGCACTTTAAAGACTAATAAGATGGTTTATTAGGTGATGAGCTTTCGTGGGCCAGACCCACTTCTTCAGATCAAATTGTGGAAGAAAATTGACACAACCATATACAGGCATTCCCCGGGTTACGTACAAGATAGGGACTGAAGGTTTGTTCTTAAGTTGAATCTGTATGTAAGTCGGAACTGGCGTCCAGATTCAGCCGCTGCTGAAACTGACC